ACCTCACATTAATAAAATCATATGGTATTGGTCCTTTTGTGACTGGTTTATTTCACTTAGCACAATATCCTTAAGGTTCATCCGTATGTCAGAATGTCCTTCCTTTTTAAAGCTAAATCGTGTCCCACTTTTTTTGTCCACTAATCCATCAGTGGAGACTGGGACTGCTTCCACTTTTCGGCTGCTGTGAATAATGCAGGTGTACAAATATCTTTTTGAGACTCTGCCTCCAATTCTTTTAGATATATATTCAGAAGTGAATCGATGGATCACGTGGTATTTCTATTTTTACTTTTTTAAAGATGTACTGTTCTCCATAGCATTTGCACCATTGGACATTCCCTCAACCAGCACATAAGGGTCCCCATTTCTCCACATCCTCATCAACAGTTCTGGAGGCAGAACTGTTTAGAACTGAAATCTTGACTGTACCTCCCCAAAATCGTCAAGACCATGAAGTGGGTTTTGGCTGGTTGTTGGTCTTTCTTCCCCACTAGAATGGAGCACACAGGCCCTGTTTTGCTGTTCAATCCCCAGCACTTAGTCCAGGACGAGTGTTCGGTATGACCTGAAGTACAGTGTCGGTGCTCAAATATTTGCTGAATGAATGAAAGAATGAACCCCTCTGTTTGGCAGGTAAAGAACCAAATGAGATAAGATAATGGATGTAGAAAGAGCCAAACACACCCAACCCTCAATCCTGCCGCGGGTGCCGCGGTGAGGTCACCGCTCTCAGGTCCTGTATGCTCCTTTGGAAAAGGGAGGTGACAATACTTTCCACACGGAGAGGAAAAGGTGCCTCAACACACAGGAGCCCCCTAGCACCGTGCTGGACATACCATAGGCGGTCAGTCCATGCAGGCTTCCCTATAAAGCACCACACATGAATACAAAGTATTCTCACTATTAAAGTCTAATGCTTCAGACCAACCCACCCACAGGAGAAGTAAATGGAGCCAAGATTTGTAGTCAGTGCAAGAGTACTGACATTTCTGTTAAAAGAACTATCTTAATGGAAGTAAATACAAAGTAAGATCACAATACAGAAAGAGGCCGTAAGGTTGTGGCTGCCTATTATAAAGGGATTCTTCTTTTTCACACCATTTTTTAAAATTGGAAACCCATTGAATAATAACAATGTAGTTGTGGGGACATGAGTTGGTCATGGCTGGAGTAGATGGCCCAAGGTTTCTTTCAGCAAAAAATAAAAAAATTAATAGTTCTAGATATGACTTAATATTGTAAAGATGCTGAGCCTTCCCAAGTTAACAATTCAATGCCATGCCAACCTTCACCCTAGATTTTTTTTACTAGAAATCGACAAAATGAATCTAAATTTCATTGGATTAATACATAAAAATAGCCAAGAAAATTTTGATAATAAATGATGTTAGATGGGTATGTTCAATCTGACAATTCAAAAAGCTGGCTATTCACATATGATGTATGGACTCTTCTGTATGCACACTCCACTTCTGGAAAAACTTGTTTAAACATTGGAGGAGAGACACTTGTCTTATAAAAACATACTCTGGAAATATAGTAATGTAAATATAAACCATGTAAGGCAGAATGAGACAAAGAGCTCAGCAGAATGGAAGAATCTTGTTATAAAATTTAATATATGAGATACAGTGTTTCATATAAGTGAGGCAATTATAATAATAAAAACTGTTGGGACAATTAGCAATTGATTCAGTAAAAAATACATTTGGACCCTCGCCTACTTCACATAAATCAATTCCAGGGGATTAATGATATAAAGGGCATGGTCAATCATAGATGGGACAAAGGTTAATTCATACTGCCTGTCTACAAAACTTCCCAGGGCTGAGAGACCAAAGAGGCTGACAATTCCATCACTACATCAAGAGCTTATTAAGGGAACTTCTGTTTGTTTTTTTAAAAAGTGTATATTACCTGTCTTTGTTTTCCTATACATACATGTAGGTATTTGTGTATAGGTGCAGACACTAGCCAGACTGCTGGCATTAAAGGGAATGAGATTTAGAACTTTTCCCAGTAAACAGGTACTCATGGCCCTAGCCAGTTTGGCTCGGTGGATAGAGCGTCAGCCTGTGGACTGAAGGGTCCCAGGTTCGATTCCGGTCAAGGGCATGTACCTTGGTTGCGGGCACATCCCCAGTAGGGGGTGTGCAGGAGGCGGCTGATCGATGTTTCTAATTCTCTATCTCTCTCCCTTCCTCCCTGTAAAAAAATCAATAAAATATATTAAAGACACACACACACAAAAAACAGGTACTCATGTATTACATCTATCTATATATATAAAAGCCTAAGCGGCCGGTCGCTATGATGTGCACTGACCACCAGGGGGCAGACGCTCAACACAGGAGCTGCCCCCTGGTGGTCAGTGTGCTCCCACAGCCAACCTCCTGCGGTCCTTCCCCCCGGCTGGCCAACCTACCACGGTCCCTCCCCACCGCTGGCCGGCCCCAATAGGCCCCAACTGGGACTGGGCGAGATGGCCCCGATCAGCCCCAATCACCGGCCAGGCCGAGGGACCCCACTCATGCACAAATTCATGCACCAGGCCTCTAGTTTATAATAAAAGTACTTGTGAACTGTGTCTGAACAAAAGCTCTTAAGGGCACATATGCAAAGAAGAAGTTGGGTCAGAGGCAGCTTGGGGGTTCAGAGCATTAACCTTGGGGTAAAAAGACTTGGTGTCCACATGCCAGGTGGCTCCATGGGTGTTTTGTGACCTCAGGCAAGCAGTGGCTTTGGTGGCTTCTGTGCCTCAGCCCTAGAGCAGCGGAACCAGGGGATTTTGCTCTCCCGGGTCGTCTGGCAACGTCTGGTGGCATTATCGGTTGTCACCACTGGGGAGGAGGGGTGTTACTGAACATGCATCAGTGCAGAGGACAACAGCCTTCCCCTCCGGAAAGAGAATCCACCCGCCCCAGGTATCCAGAGTTGAGGTTGAGAAACGGGGTTCTAGAAAAAGGGGCAAGTCTACCTGCAGGGTTGAGGCCTAATTGTGTACAAGGTGCTTAATTAGCACAGAACAAGCCCTCAATAAATGGGAGCTACTATTTTTATGACTGGACTTCCACAAAATTAAGAAAAACAATATAGTGGGAGGAAGTGGCAGCGCCTGGAGCCCACTCACCCGCACTCTACCTTGGGAGATAAGAGGTCCGTGCCCTTTCTCACGGCAACCCTGGTCTCTGGCGTGTCTGTGTCGCCAACTGGAAGTGGTGTGCGAAGGGCTCCTCGCGCCTCACTCCTCCGGGGTTTTTGTTTCCAGCCTCCTGCCATCCCAGCTCAGGAGCTGCTGGATGGTCCCTGGGCTCTGGCATACTCACTATCTTCCTCTGGTGGGCATATGCCTCTGCTTCAAGAACACACTCAGTTTCTCTTGTTGGAAAATTAAAACCAGCCGCCTTCTCTTTTTCTCTCTTCTCGTGAAACTGAAAAGGTGCCAACACGGAGGACTGACGCTTCATTTCCTGCTATCTCCGCCAAACTCCAGCGTGCCCCTCCCCGGTCCCCGAGTTCAGCCAAACCACTGTGCCACATGACCAACCATTAGCTTTCACTCAACTTACTTCACTGCTTTGCTGCATCCTTGCTGTGGGCCACGCCCTTGAACATTTCTTCCCACGACTCTCCTGTCCTAGCCGCTCGTTTTCCTGCTGCCTCTCTTCCTGTCTACTTCGCTCACTCACCTCTTCTCAGATGTTATTACACGGAGATGTTAGCGATTGGGCCATGGCCATCGTCTCTTCGCCTACAACGCTTCCAGCTCTACTTAGTTCCTCCTCTACTCCTACATCCCAAATCCATCCCTGGTCCCGACCACTCCTTTGAGTCCCCAAACCAGAACATGTATGACTGCCTATTCGTCATTTCTGTTTTTTTGTCTCAAAACCCCCTGAACTCAATACACTCGCACTTGATCGAAGGACCCTCCCTGGGAACCTGGTCCGATTCCAGTGCCCCCGTCTCAGGGAATGGCCTTGCCATCCACCAAGTGGGGAAGCCAGCAGCTCGAGGGAGTTCTCCATCCCAACAGCAACCTGTGCCCAGGTTGTCTGACCCCAGCACCCCTCCTCTCCTTCGTATGGGCCCATGGACTGGACTCACCTGATTGGCCCCCCTGCTTCCCCTTTGCTTCTCTACAATCCCCCACTCTCCCTGCAGCCAGCGATCTATTAAAAATTACTGTCTAATCACATGACACTGAGCCCTACCTGCTGGAAACTCTTGTACCCGCTGCTCTAAGGTTAAAATCTAAACTCCTCACCTTGGCCCACAAGGCCCTGCAGTACAGTCTGGCCCAACCCAACCCCTCAGCCTAACAGTGCCCAGTGTGGTTCTTTGATCTCTCTAACCTTCCTGGCTTCCTGTTCCTGCAGCTCACCCACTGTATCTCGGGACAGCAGCCCCACTGTGCACCCGGTGCTCACAGTATCTCCTTCATAGCACTCATCAAGGTTGGAACTTTAACCTCGGTGGGTGGGCGGGGGGAACAGTAAGCAATGACACTGACCCTGTCTTGTTGCTCGTCATTATGTCCCCAACTCCTGGGCACAGAACTTTACACTCATAAATATTAGTGAGTGGTCAGCATTCATATGATTAGCATCTCTGAGCAGAATCAGGCAGACGGCAAACTCTGGAGTGACTCCAGCGGACCTTCTGGATCTAAACTGTCGACCCTCACCCTCCCCTTGCTCAGGGGTCTTAATCGACTTGGGCGTCACCTGGGCCAATTCTTCAAAGAAAACCCTGGTGTGGCAGGAGGCCTGGATAGGACAGTGGGGTTCGGTGCTTTTGCTACACTGGCTGCGTTTTTCACTCACTGGTCTGGTTGCGAGGGTCGGGTGGGCAGTGCTCTTAGGAACCCCCAGTGCTGAGCTGAGCAAAGGAGAAGCCCAGTGCTTGAAGGAACACATGGAGGAGCTGAACTCGTATAAGAAAGGAAAGGCCCAAGAAGCCACAGGGTCCTAAGCAGAGAGAGACGACCACCAAGGTTTGGTTCTTGAATACGTATTTTTTACTGAAAAAATCATTCATAAATTAACATACAAAAATGTACAAACACATGAGTAAATAATGTAATGACAAAGGACTATCTTTGTGAAAAGTGTTTTTTAAAACATCTTTAGATTTCAGTGCAAAAATGTACCCCTGGCACCTCTTAAAACATAAGAGCAAGCTCAAAAAAACGTAGTGATGGAAATAAGCTAGCTACGTTCAATGTCATCGTCAATGGTGAGTGGATACAATCAATACATGTGGCTGTTGCTCAGCTATTAATGTCTGCGATAGAGGAGCTCTTACTAGAGTCCCTGTAATGTCGAAATGAATATTTTTGCAAGTAACACCGCCCCCCCCCCCCAAAAAAAAACACCCCAGAGTGTGAAAGGAAAACCTTTCCCTGTACTCAGTAATCAAAGACAAGAATGATGTAAGGGGTCACCCATCAGTAGCCTTAACTAATTCAGCTGCCAAAATATGCACAAGGTCACATTTGGTTCTTATTGTTCCTTTTCTTTTTTGACATGAGAATTTCATACCATTAACAGCACTCAGGCCCAGCTGTGTGTTTTTAACATTTTAGTTTCCCACACAAGACTCAACGCGGTGGATAAATGACTAACAGCACACAATAAGAGTTCACACTAATAATACAAACTTACACGTGATTGCAAGATAATTTAAGCGACCCCACTTCATGAGACCTTTCCTTTTTGTCCTCAATCCAGCATTTTCTTTTTTAAGTCAGGTGTCAGCCTTTTACCAACATTTGGTTCCTGGCTGTAACGACATTAATAAAAAAAGCTTCAAAGAAGATCACTTTAGAACACTGCCAGCAGCCCGGCAGTCTGTCTTGGCCAGTTCTGCCAAACGGCATCCTAGTTTTGTCACACTGAGAGCAGCTCGGCCTTCAGTGACGGATGAGGGAAGGGGAATGGGAAGGGTGAGAAGCCAAGGCCAGCACAGAGGTCTCGGGGTCGGGGGTGGGGGGAGTGAGGGGTGAGCGGGAAAGTAGTCTTTATTGCTATATGCACCATACATCAAAGGAAAACCAAATGAACTGTGTGTAATGTTCCCTCGTGAAGGTCTTTTAAAGCATGAAATTCTCAAATTCTTTTAAAACATATGATACAGCTTACCAGCATTTTCAAGGGCAGCAGCCTGCTCTCTCATACGAGCCGATAAGAGCAACTGATTTTCTAAATACCACTCTATTCTTCAAAAGAACAAAAACATTAACAAAAACAAGGCCTGGCCAATCACTCCCACAGCTTGTGGGGATCATACGTCCATGGAACCAACACATGCAATGGAGAAAACCCCAACCCACACATGTATACAAATATACCCCTACACACACATCCATGTAAACCATGAAATTAAGGAAGTTGAAGGCAAACAAGGCAATTAAAAAAAATATGAAGTACTCTTCAGAAAGTACTCCCAATCACGATTTATAAATATGTTTTATGGAAAGGGAGGGGGGGAAACTGGCATTTTTCAAAATTCTGCAGAAGTCAACCGGGACTGTGAATTGAGGGATTTGGCTCAGGGCAAAAACAGGGAGGCACAAATTCAAATGCAATTTAGAATCTGACTTCCAAAAGCACATGGGGTGTGAACAGCCCACGTGACTCCTGCACCCTGGCTTTGCTAGTCCAATTTAAAGCTCTGATTTGGTCTAACCTGGATCCCAGCTGACCCACGACACATAATGTTGACAAAGAATCTTTCCAGAAATCAGTAAAGGAAATATTCAGAGGGATCACTGGCTGGTCGCTAGTTGGTAATTTAGGCACAGATTTTAGAAATTGTGGTCGTGTTCCTCAAGAGGGGAAAAAAAATGTAAGGGTGGGAGGATGGGGAGGGGAGACACCACTCATCCTCTTCTCTTGATGATGATGAAAGAACGAAACAAAGTGCAGGGGCCCGTGGGTGGCCGTGTGCCCGGTGAGAGCAGCGCCCCCCCCCCCCCCCAAGGGCTTGCTTTGAGCAGAGGGAGCGCCTGCTGTAAAACAGCAACCTCCTGTTCAGCAAAAGATTGGGAAGAGCATGTCCGTGCCCAACAGGGGAGGGAATCAAGAGCAAGACCTTGGGAGAAGGGGCTGGGCGGGGCAGAAGTAGGTGCCAGTGACAAAGACTGGACTGTTTTGTTCTTTTGTGACGCGCCCTAAGTCCACTCCCTTCCAAAGTGACAGCAATTTGGGAGATATATTCTTCCACAGCATTTTAACGGAGTTCCTGCAGTTGCCAACCAAATAATGATCTAATAAGATAAATCCTCAGTTTGAATTGAAGCCAGCTATAAAATTAAATTTAAAAAAGGCATTTTACATGGCTTATTTACAATTATACTTCTTCAAGAAGTGATTGTTACATGTCTATTTATCTTCCCCAATCCCCCCCCTCTACCCTCGATCCCCACCCAAAGCAGGTAATTTAAAAAAAATGAAACCGAAGAGGACACCAGAGATGGTGTGTGGAGTCTCATTTGCTCTTCCTAAGACACAGCTGCCCCGCGGTGCGTTTGTCCGCCTCTTTCCTCTGAAGGCCAAGAAGCTCCAAAGGCCATTCGTGGGACAGGCTCTGGGGCAGGTCCACGGCGGGTCACAGTTCCGGTTCTGGAGATTGTGGCTAAGATGGACGTCGGGGAGGAGACGGGGAGAAGAGCAGCAGGACAGACGTCTGTCTTGTGAAAACAGAAAGCAGTCCTGATGAAAGGAGTTCCTGAGCGGACTCCCTCGATCCCAGTGGGTCCAAACAGCGAAGGTTTTGTGCGTGCACTCTGTTCACAGTTTTCCTTGAACCCTGTGATCCTTCATTAGACACCGTTCTTCTAATTCCCATCCCGTGTGGAGCCCCAAGACATCTCCACACATCAGGCCGCTTTCTTGGTGGTGGTGGGTAAAGCAACACACATTCCCTCCTCCTCTTAGTACTCGGTCACCTGAGCCAGCTCAGGTGTCAAGTTGACAGTAATGTTTTTATACAAGGCGTCATATGTGATGTTTGCAAAGTAGTTCAAGTTGTTGAGGCCGTCCAGCCCTTGCCGCTCTTTGGACCTCCTCAGCAGAGCGTACCTGTTGGTGCAGAGAACAGAGGTGGCTCTGAGAGGGGCCCGACCCCCTCAGGACAGACGATGGGACCGGCAGCCCACAGGGGAGGACACATGGCGGGTGACCGGCCTTTCGGCTGCTCCTGGCCCGATGCTGTTGTTATTAGAAACACCTCCTGTTTCATGCCAGCTGCTTTATTACAGATTTCATTTGAGGCACCCACCTCTCAAACAAATGAGGAAACCAAGGCTCATGATGTTAAATGACTTGCCCAAGGTCACAGAATGGGGAAGTGGGAGGTAAGATACGAATACATCAGATGGGAAAGTTCAGAGTCTGTACTCAGTGCCCTGTAATTCCCGTGAAGACAGAGTTCATGCAATCAGAATTGGCTCTCCAGAGACCATCCTCCCTCATTAACAAAAGACAGAGAGTTGCCCTTGAAAATGCAGAGGTGCAACTCCGTCCACACGCCCCAAGAATCCAACCTAGGATTTACGTATTGAAAGCAGAGAGCTGTTAAAGCAACTGCAACCACACAAACAGAGGCTCAGGGCCACCCCTCAGAACCGGAGTTTGCAGGCAGGTGCCAACTCTGCTCTGTCACGTCAGTGGAAGTCTAAGACCTTTACCCGCGTGGACTTTCCCCCAACTCTCGGCAGCTACAGAGGAGACTACAAAGTGTAAGATGAAGAGTGAGTGATTCCCTTAAAGGATCTTACAATCAACAGTCTGATTTCACCCTCAAACGCTGGCCTCACAGTTCAAGTCTATTTGGGACCTATAAACAGCTGTCAGAACAGGACCTGGGAGAGAGGCTGGGGAGTCAGACGAGGGGCTGCAATGTGCCCTGGGACACCTGGAAATGCAAAGTCGAGGACAGTCCTCAGAGGAATAAGGAAAAGGCACCAACCTTCCCAGAAACTGGACTTCTCCTCGATGGTGATGAGGAATGGACTTGTACTTCCCTGTGTCACCTTCCGGCCGGCTCACAGAATAGCCTGCATTCTGTACTCTGCCCAAGACAGAGAGAATGGGTGTTTAGATAAAGTGATCAAGTCCTAGACGTGACCTAGGCTGAGGCTGAGAAACCCAAGTTGAACAACAGAGCTTTCTCTGCATCTAAATATTCAAATTACCTATACTCTCTGGATAAGTTCATGGTTTTATAAAAGAAATCTACAAAAAAGTTTTGAAAAAAGAAAATAAATTCAAAATGAAGTTCAAAATTCTCGAGGGTAAGGTTGACACGGGTCCTCGGTGGAAGGTCCAACAGTGGTTCCCCCGGCCGGTGAGTGCACACCCACTCCCTCTTGCCGGCTCGCTGGTCCTATCAGACACACCTTTCTCATGGGTGGAAAGAACCTTCCTTTCCACAAGCTCCCACAAAGCAAGTTAGAAAAGTCAGAGTTGCTATGGGTTTTCTCTGCTTAGGTCTAAATTATGTCTCTGCTCACCTCCCCCATCACTACAGAAATAAACAAATTTACATGACAATCTCTCAATGTAAAACTTTACAATTTATGAAAAGTCACTACAAGGGAGGCAGAATTTAGAGAATGTGTTCAGGATATTATCCTGCCATGATAAAGGTAAGATTTCCCAAGCTGGGTTTACTGGAAACTTAATAGGGCTCTAAGAAATCATTAATAGACTTTGTCTTCTATGGAAAATTTATGGTCATTTTCATATTATTTCAATATCCTCCTTACTCCAAATTATACTCTCATTTGATAAGAATACATGGAATGCCTACTGTGTGCCTGGAATGGTGCAGGGTGCTGGGGAACGAACCAACCACAGTTCCTGCACAGAAGCTGCCCCCCTCCCTGAGCTGGGGAAGGGAGGGGGAGAGAAAGAGAGAGAGGAAAATTGTGACAGATGTTCTGGGAGAGATCAACTGGATTCAAGGACCAGCCAAACCAGTTAAGTGTATGGAAAAGCTCTTCATCCTCCCTAGGTTCCTAAGAAACTCAAATTAAAAGGATGAGATGCCATTTTTACCTAACAGATTGAGCAAGAATTGTCCGGAGCTGCTTTGTCCAGTGTCGTAGCCATGAGCCACTTGTGGCTACTTAAAGGCTAAAATGTGGCCAAAATTTAAAAGGTCGTTTATCTCCATTGTTGGCAGTGGTGTAAGAAAATGGGCACCACTGACTAGAATCTTTTTGAAAGAAAATTTGGCAATAATTATCAAAATTTAAAGTGCACTTACTTCTTAACTCTGTAATTCCGCAACTAAGAATTTAATGGAAAGAAACAGTTGCACATGTGAACAAAGGATGTTCAAAATCGTAAACAACAGGAGACATTAAAATAAATTACTATGGCCTGACCAGTGTGGCTCAGTGATTAAGCACTGACTATGAACCAGGAGGTCCTGGTTCCATTCCGTGCCAGCGCACATGCCTAGGCTGCAGGTTCAATCCCCAGGGTGGGGTGTGCAGGAGGCAGCGGATCAATGATTTTCTCTCATCAGTGATGTTTCTATCTCTCCCCGCCTTTCTGAAATCAATAAAAATATATTAAAAAAAATAAATTAATGTGTATGTGCATAAAGGAATACTACGCAATTATTAAAATAATGGAGTGGTCCTCACTATATGATCGTGGTGGGAGGGGAGAAGGATGTGTCAGAGTTGCTTATATATGAATAGAAAGAAGCAGAAAGAAACAAGTGTTAAAATGGCTACTTCCTGGGAATGAAATAGGATGGCAAAGGGAAGTAAGACTTACACTCTTTGGTGTATGTACTTTTGTATCACATGAATTCTTACCAACAAATATTACTCTGTAATTAACAGCCAACACATACTTTCTTTTTAAAAGCCAGCCTAAAAGTAAACAGAGGTGGCAATGGTTTTGCTTATTCATGCCTTATGGAATTACTACACCAGTCACAAAACTGTTCACACAAACTTGTATAATACAAGTCTTGACTGATAGCACGGATAAATCTGTGCACATCACTAATATTCAACCTCTGGCTTGGGGAGGTCTCAGTGAAATGTGCTATGAGTGGAAAGCACACACCAGATTTTGAAGATTTAGTAAGAAACAAGGAATGTAAAGTATTTCATTAACATGTTATATTGATTACATGTTGAAATATTATTATTTGGATACATTGTGATGAATACATTGCTAGCAAATTTTATTACCATATTAAAATTAATTTGACCTCTTTTTCTTTCTTAACGGTTTGAAATGTGGCTATTAGAACATGTTTACATTATGCTTTCTATTCATATTGGACAGCACTGGCCTGGAGAGGCTAAAGGAGCTTTTCTAGAAGACACGGGAAGAAGGGCAGTACCTGTTCCACAGGTCGTCGTCCTCTCCGCCCCAACCCCAGAAAGCATTAGGAAAGCCATTGATTTTCCGAAATTGTTCCACTGTTAAGCCACTCACTCCGCCGAAGAACTCAGTATAAGGAAGCCTGAAAGGAGATGCAGAGCATCAATCATCTGTGCACGAAAGGGCGATTTTTTCCCCCTAGAACAGGCCATCTCGCTGGAAAACTATGTCTATAGTAAAACAAGGCTCTCTGTGCTACTGCCCTGAACCATCTGAAATTGTTTCCTCTCGCTGAGATGCATCAACCTGAGTAGCTCATTGAACATTTTTTATACCAGCTTTTCTGAGACATACTTGCCAAGCCATATAACTCACCCGTTTCAAGAACATAATTCAAAGATTTTTAGTATATTCACAGAATTGTGCAACCATGTCCACAATCAATTTTAATACATTTCATTACCCGCAAAAGAAGCCTTGTAGCCATTAGCAGGTACTCTTCATTTCCCCCATTCCCTCATGAAACCACTATTCTCCTTTCTGTTTCTATAGATTTGCTCATTCTGGAAATTTCATATAAGTGAAATCATGTAATATGTTGTCTTCTGTAACTGGTTTCTTTCACTTAGCATGTTTTCACCCATGTTGTTGCATCTATCAGTAATTCATTCCTTTATACTGACAAACAGTGTTCCACTGTGTGGATCTACTACATTTCGTTTATCCATTCAGCAGTTGATGGGCATTTGAGTTGGAGCTAATTGGATCTGCCATCTTTGCATCTCATCATCCTTTTAGATTTAACTTCTTTAAGAGGAAGTGATACTCACAGATACATATATTTATCCAATTTAGTTGCAAAATGCCTTGGCATCTGTCCACATCCATAGTAGTTACGATCACTTTCAGGTATGTGATCCACATCATGAAAAATAAGACAGTCCCAGTCCAAGTCCTTCATTGCTTCTTGAAAACCGACATTGAAAAGCATGGCTCGATTAAAGGGTTGGGTGCCAACCTAAAAGGAGAACTTTATTTTTAAAAGGATTCTTGAAGCAAAGTCGCTGCTGCCTCCGCCCTGCCTAGAGGAACGCTTACTGAAACCCATTGGGAAAGATGGCTGGGCCGGAAGTGAGACAAGACCAGCACCGGCACCACTGACTCACAAGCCACCTGATCTCCAGCCTCGGTTCCCTTAGAAATAAAGGGGGTGGGGATGACAAACCTCTCCCAGGCTGTGGTGGACAGCACTTGGACTACCCAGCCCATAAAGGAAGGAAGAACACGCTGCCCTTTCTACTCACAGCGCCTTATCATAAGGGAATTTCCTGGAGCCTGAAGACATCACCCAAAGCAACTCCAGCAACGGCCACACAAGAGGCCTTTGTGCACGGGTAAACAAAGCTCCACCCTGGACTCAAATCTGTGGTACTGACTGAGCAACATTTCAAAGAGGAGCAAAGAATTGCTCTCTGTTCCCCTGCCCAGCTCAGGGTGACTCAGTCACGAGACTTCCGTTTTACCAGCTCTTCACAGCGAAGATGGATTAGCTTGAACCACTCTAACTGCTGCCTCAGAAGAGAAAGGAGAGGAGAGAAAGGACGACCACTCACTTGCTCAATGACATAAAATGCAAACCGCAGGCGCTGGCGCTGCAGCATGGGAACCAGGTGTCTGAGCAGGACGGGGAGGTGCTCGTGGCGGTTCCGGAAGGGGATGAGGATTGCCACCTGGAGTGGGTCACAGCGAGAGAAAGAGGCCGCCCTGTTAGTCCCCTCAACTTCTGCAGAATCAGCGACCAGCCCTTGGGGAGTCAGGCTGGAGGCTGCCTTGACCTCAACTTCCTTTAAAGGAAGAACTACTTTGGCAAGTCAAACCTTTGGAGTAAGTGGAGCTTGTTCTTATATGTGCCCTACTGTACACACAGTGGGCCTGCTGAATGGAGTCATTCTAGACCACAGCCCAGAGGAAGACACAGATTCTACATGGTGACCCAGTACACGGATATATCCATAGATATATAAACATTACAACTAAAATACAGTACTTCCCCTTACAATGTGCAAGGTGCTTTAACATAAATAGATTTATTTAATGATGGTCATTACACTGATTTTACATTCTAGCAACAGGCTGGAAACACTGATCTGTTCCAGACCCTCCTGGGTCACTGCTGCACCCAGCCATCTCCCAGGGCTGGCACAGAACAAGTACTTCAAAATGCTCAGTGTCAGGTGAGCTACCTCCAGTTTTTACTCCACTAAACTTATAGTAACAATGGCGAACAGGGCATGAAGCACTGAATTTGTGAAGATGGCCTCTGTTAATGTGTCCTAAGAGACCTACCAACCCTCCCCGCTGCTTAACCAATAGTCCTTTAAGGAGACAAAAGAGTCCTGCTCAGTCACCAGAACAATGTAAATTTCTGGCTACACAAGAGTCCTTAGGGGAAACCCATTCCTCCGAAGTATTTCCATCAAATGCAAATACTTTTCATTGGGTAGCAGGAAGCAAATTAGAGAATGCCCTAGTCAGTGAATCCCATGCTGATCTGAAACAATGGAAGTCTGAGCACCTCAGGTCTGACTCCACAGCCTACCTTCCATCGGGGCACGCAGTCGGAAGGTGCCCAGTGACCTCCGAGCTTGATGGCTGGGTCTTTGGAGAAGAGTTCATGAATGGTATCCATTCCAATTTCACTCATGTTTACGTCTATTGGGCCCTCTGAACGGAGAGAGAGAGAAAAAAATTAAGGCCAGAAAATGGTAGATTCTTTCCCCTCTGTCCAGGGTTTTACTCTCTGGAGCAGGTCGATGATTTTTCAGCTTATTGTGTTCCTAATAGGAGTGGGAGTCCCTTCCTCTGCCTTCCAACTCATTGCATTTCAGGTTGTCACTATCACTGCAGCCAAACCAAGACGCAAAGTTCTGCCTCTGTCCAGGGATAGAGAGAAGTTAGAACCAAGTAAGAAAGACAACAATTGAACTTCTCAAAGAGGAAGGAGAAAAAAGCCGAGCTTAGAGCCATCCCTGCGTGCTCCCGAGGCAAGTGCAGATGCTCTGTCCCAGTTCATTTACCAGTGACCCTGACTGGTCATGCCCAAACTCAGAACACACATCTCTAACTTAAGTTAAGAAGTGGAATTGTCTAAGATACAGAAAAGGTGTAATGCTTTGTTGTCATTGCTTTAGAGTAAACATGGGATTTCAAGAAAATAGGAAAGAAAAAAGAGCCAATAATTTTTTAAACTAGCACTCTGTGAAGAAAGTAACTTCTCTCATATCAAACAAGCTATAATCAGTGTAAGATTCATAATAAAAGATGAAGTTGGTTACCTATACTTTCTCTAGGACGTCCTAACAGGCCCCAAGTTACAAACGAGGGTGATGTGCAAAGGGCAGAGGGAACAATGTAGAAAATGGCACTCAGAACACGGGCGCCTTTGCAGGGGAGGGGGGCTGAGGAAGAGTCAGGGCACAAGTAAGTTTCACAGCCCCTGTTTCCAATGCCAGGGAGATGTTTATGTTTTCTATGCAGGTAGACGCATATAGAGAACAAGAGCAGCCTCCCTCTTATTTTAATCAAATAAAAAGACAGCAGTTTCAAAAGTGGAGGAAGATAAGGGAGAGCTCTACTCACTCATGGAAGGGAGCCTTTCGGGACAGGTATGGTTTGCAAAGTAGGTGAAGTCTTCAGGAAGAAAAGTGGTGGTTTGTAGGAAGGTCTCACTGTGGTTCAAGTCAAGAGGATAATCTAGAAAAGTAAGAAAAAAAGGCAACTCAGACTGGTACGTACATGTGATCAGTTCTGCAATTCTCAGATGTCTACCAAAGAAGTTTTTTTTCTTAGACATCATTTTTTTGTGAAGCAGGATTCTGGACTAGCTCTTCACCGCAGCTATAAATTTGATCCCATCAATAAAAATGTTAACCAGATGACACTATTTTAACCAGTGTTACTATTCTGATTGATATTACAGCTTTATATGCACTCAGGTTACTGTCAAATTATTCCACAATGTAATTATAAAAACAGCACACACACCCTGTACCTTACTCTCCAAAGCAGGAGTGAGGAACCTTTCTTCTGCCAAAGGCCATTTGGGTATTTATAACATCATCCACGGGCCAGACAAAATTATCAACTTAAAAATTAGCCTGTTAATAATAGATACAGAGGCAGAGCTGCCTCAAACAGATTGTCAAACTGCAGCAGGAAGGCCGGGGAGGGTTGGGGGGCAGGAGGTAGGGGGGTAAGAGATCAACTAAAGGACTTGTATGCATGCATATAAGCATAACCAGTGGACATAAGACATTGGGGGATAGGGGAGGCTAGGGGACTGTCTAGGGCGGGGGGATAAAATGGACACATATGTAATACCCTTTGTAATACTTTAAGCAATAAAAAAAAAAAAGGAAAAAAAAATTAGCCTGTTATATTTGGTTAAACATTTAATAAACTCACCCCTAATGCCTTGGCAGGGCCAGACCATATGATTTCGGGTCAGACATACCCCACCCCTGCTCTAAAGGAACTACTCTCACTTCTGTTAGCCAACCACTTCACTAGTTATCTCCTTCGGCTTACACAGTTCATTGTGATGCTTCCGCTTTAGGTCTGACCTGCTGACTTCCCACTATGGGGACAGGATTTCCCTCCCTCCCTTTCTTCCCCTGCCTCACCACACACATGCCATTTCCATCCTCCAGTCTCCTAATAATCATATATGATCATTGTGATTATGGATACTATTCATAGCTGAGAAATGTGGAGAGTTATGACTACTTTTCCTTCCTTTCCTGAATATTGTTTTTCCGAGTGACTGTCTTGTTTTTGTGCTTGCCAAGATTTTTTGTTTGTTTGTTTTTGTGAGGGCTTTTTGTTAAGGATATTTTTTCCTTTGATTTTTAGACAGAGTAAAAGGGAGAGGGAGAGAGCGAGAAACATTGATGTGAGAGAGACACTTCGAATGGTTGCTGACCACACGGCCTGATCAGGACCAGGGATTGAGCCTGCAACCATGTGTGTGGCCGTGACTGGAATCAAACCCGGGACTCTTCTGTCTGAGGGGCGATGTTCTAACCACTGAGCCAAATCAGCCAGGGCTGTTTGCCAAGTTTTAATACCATGCCCTTTATCACTGCATTCACAGGTATCGGGTATTCCCTCCATTTCATGGCCCCAAGAATGCCCAGTGCCTCTGACCCACTCCAATTTGGACTGGCTTTCCTCTGTGCCTGACGTGCAGATGCTATCCTGGGATCTCCCTCCCTCAGTGTCCTGGAGAATCCTTTCATCTCTTTACAGAATTGCTCCTCAATTTCCCCAAGTTCAGTTTCTCCCTTTTTCTTGCCTAATGGAGCACATCCTCAAAGCAGCTCTTACGAAGGGGAAATGGGAAGTGATTTTGAAACATGTACATCTGATTGTTTTTATTCCTCCTCCCTTGACTCATTGGTTGGTTGGGCTTATAGAATTCTGGGCTGGAAATAATTTTTCTTTAGAATTGTGAAGGTGCTGTCCAACTGCCTTCTAGATTCCACTGTGTCTGCTAAGTCCAAAGCCATTCCAATTCTAGATCTCTGTCAAGGTGCCCAGTAGTGTCTTTCTGGAAGGGTAAAGAACTTCCTCGTTGTTCAGGAAATGTCACAGTGGTGTGCCTTACTAGGGGGCCTATTCTTAGCAACTGTGGTGACCATACCTAGCCATTTTGCTACTCTACCAATTTTCTCAACTTTACCCAGCCCTACTTTTCATGATCATTTCTGCTATTATATTTTTTATTTCAAAGAGTCCTTTTTATTTTCTGAATGTTCATTTCATATAATATATTCTTGTTTCATGTTTGGTATCCTTTTTTCTCTTACCCTTGAGAATATATATTATTGTTGTTTTAATATTCTTCTCCCAGCATAGTTTGTTTCTCCTAATTTGCTGCTGCTTGTCTGTTTCAATCCCTAGCACAACAATCCTTGGTCATCTGCTGATATTTGAGTGGGACACTAATCAGCTAACTGAAAGGGTGTGAACTGTGGTTCTTCATGATAGGGTATTCTAGTCAGAAGTTTGGTTTAGAAACTTCCAGCACCAATATCGTTGGGTCTTTCCTCTTGGTCCCGTCACATTCCCCATAGAAGTCTATTCTAATCTCCTGCCAGAACTACAGTTTTGGCTATAAGCATCCTGGAACTGAGGACACCGAGATGAGATGACCCAAGTTGGGAGACCCTCTGTTTTACCATCTTCGAATGTTATCAAGTCTCCAATTCTTTGCCAAGATGGGGAAAGAGTTCTGGGCATCTGATTGTTTTTCAAACAGCTTTCAACCAACCTTTATCTAAGTTGCCACCTTTATTTTTTTAAAATATATTTTTGTTGATTTCATAGAGGAAGGGAGAGGGAGAGATAGAAACATCAATGATAAGAGAGAATCATTGATTAGCTGCCTCATGCACACCCCCACTGTGGGGCTTGAGCCCACAAGCTGGGCAGATGCCCTGACCAGGAATCAAACCATGACCTTCTGGTTCACAGGTCGACACTCAACCACTCAGCCACAATGGCCAGGTGCCACCTTTATTTTTATCTCTAAAAGTACTTGATATTGCTCATTCCTGAGCTTCTAGAAGATTCTGGGGTATAAACTGGAGTGCTTGATGGCTTTCCTTGCTGCCACATTAGCAGTCAGTTTTTGGGGGGTCTATTATATCCTTTTATCTGTTTTCCAACTTCCAAAAATTTTTGCTGTGGTCTGCTTTCTTGTTCTCTTCATTCTTAAGGGCTTATAACATTATGTATGCATACACACATGCAGCATGCACACACACACTTTTTTTTTACTGTCATTCAGTGGGGTTTTAAGTGTTTGAAGCAGACGCCTTTTCCCTAGGGGATTCTAAGAAGGAAGCCCCTCCAACCTCTTATTTTTTTACAGATAAGGAAACTGAGGCCCCATATAGACAACTTGTACAAGGAGACTTGGCTAGTACGTGACAAAAGTCTGACTAAACTCTGGGTCAGCGATCTTTCCATTGGACTGTACTATTTTTTCAGAGTACTAAAGTCTCTCTTCCCAATCTTTTTGGATTCATACTGATTCTGTGAACATTAAAACTTCCTATTCAAATTCACTTTGCAACCTGAAATTCCAGAATCTTCAACTCAAATATTTTTTAAAATATATTTTTATTGATTTCAGAGAGGAAGCGAGAGGGAGAGATAAAAACATCAATGATGAGAGAGAATCATCGATTGGCTGCCTCCTGCACCCTCCCTACCGGGGATTGAGCCCACAACCCAGGCATATGCCCTGACAGGGAATCGAACTGTGACCTCCTGGTTCATAGGTTGATGCTCAACTACTGAGCCACACCAGCTGGGCTCAGATATTTTTTAAAAAGCACTATGAGATAGTTTCCAAGAATTAAACTTCTAATATAGTGAATCCTTTAATACCAGTATAGGCACATAACTGCCTACTCTACAAGTACTCAGAGGACAAAACTCAACGAGAGGCAACTGGGAGAGAATTTTAACAGTCACTTAACAGGGGAAGAAAGAAACAGACACTTTCTGTCCTTTTAAGTTGTAGCTTTCCTGAAAAACACTAAGCCTGGCCCTAGCCGGTTTGGCTCAGTGGATAGATAGTGCGTTGGCCCACGGGTTTGATTCTGGTCAAGGGCATGTACTTTGGTTGCAGGATCCATCCCCAGTGGGGGTTGTGCAGGAGGCAGCTGATCAATGTTTCTCTCTCATCGATGTTTCTAACTCTCTATCCCTCTCCCTTCCTCTCTGTAAAAATCAATAAAATATATTAAAACAAAAAAACACTAAGCTTGCATTTATATAAAGACGTAAACCAAGTCAGCATTAACCCCAAAGGTAAAATTACATTTACACAGAAATTAGCCCAAAGTCCTTAGTTTACACATGCAAACCTGTCCTAAGTTGTTGAGCCTTTTCTGAAGGTATTAACATTTCAAAAGCTTTGTCAAGAACCTCCTCCTATACTAATCATTACTCTGGATGGTTTGGATTTTGCTTAATTACACACACACTTCTCTTTAAAACAGCATCACAGTAATCATATTTTCCTAGAAGGCAAAGAAATTCTCAGAGGTATTATAATAAGCATTTTCATAAGCAAATCAACAAAAAACAGAAGTGAATAATAATTCTGGGCAATGATAGAACTAAACCTTGGAGCTACAACCTAAACAGGAATTAAGTAAAAACAACAAAACAACAAAAAACATGTAGGAGAAGAGACAAGACACTCTCTAACCTTGATCCTACTATTGGGGGTTTAAAGACACAGATCAGTTCCTTTCTACTTCCTTCAAACACTGATATAATAAGCCTGCTAGCAATTAGCATGGGACAAAACACCACATATTGTTTCTTCTGGTTACTAAATTAATAGTGTCATTAAAAAAAAACCACAACAAACCCTCAAATACACAACTCCTACATGGAACTCCTCCATAACTTGGCCCTACATCTTGGGGGAATCCCCCGCCCCAAACCCCTAATTTCCTCTTTTCTAATTTTAAGTTCTATAGATAAAAATCTTAAAGAAGTGGAAGAGGAAGAGGACATGAATTGCTCCTGGCCTGGTAAAGCGGCATGGTTATTGCGGGGGCCCTGGTTCTCCTGACGGCCTGGAAATGGGTGGGTTATACTGCAGGTGCTTCTCGGGGGAACCAAGCATCAATGGCTACTCTTCTAAAGCAGGTATTTATTGAATGAGGGAA